TAAATTTATTAGCTCTGGGAAATACTGCAATTCTACCCATCTGCTACATACAAACAGACTTACTTCTAGAATCTGCAGCCCATAACTGAAGTTTAAAGTGATACCCTTATCCCCATACCCAAAGGTAAACCACAGACAAGGAAGACATGCTTTTTCTTCTTTAGCTACTCATTATGAACTAAATGTAGTTTAAATGAGATCAGTTTATGTCTATCACAGAAGTCAGTATAAGCTAAGTACTTCAGTCAATCTGAAGTTAGTTTTCTACATGAAATACCAGTGCCTGAGGATTCCTCTCACATACAGTGGCACATCAACATGTACCCAAGGTAAAAATGCACCAAACCAAGGCAAAGTTTTGGAGAAAACACCTAGCTGCAAGAGATGCAGTGCTGTCTGGACTATATACAGCAACACTAATTACTCAGAGGATTTAACACCAGCATTGTCTCAGTACATCAACACTTCCTTCCTCTCATCCAGAAAGCCTGGACATAACTGTTAATGTAAGTATTTAGCAGAACTTCTCACATTTTCTTGGCCAACAATTTGTAACAACTCAGTCCTCTGTATTTTAGAGGACTAAGACTCACTTCTGTATAACTTGCTCTTATTTCAGCACAAATGGTAAGCACACGTGTAAAGGGCAATGTCTGTATTTCTCTGCTGCAGAACATACTGACATGTGTGCACTGAGTAACCAACAGGCTCACTCTTGACTCTTGGAGGATGTCAACTGTGGCAGACAGCCGTTGGCTTCCACCTGGGATTTTTTTTTTACATCCAAGAGAATAGTAGTGCTACTTTCAAAGGCAACTCCTGAATGCTAACACAATTCTCTCAAGCACACGGTAGACAACATCAAAAGCCAGGCTGTGTCAGCTGAGTTTTGTTATCCTTCCATGTTCCAGGGCATATCCACTGCTGCACTGCTGCCTTCTAGTCACCAAACTGAAAAAAAGGAAACATCAGTTAGTACACTCTGAAACCAAGAGACACACAGTGAATACATTTGGACTGTATTCAGTTTGTCCCCACAGCATGGAGTACAACAGCTACCCACAATAATCAGAGTGCCCTGAGCACTGCTTGTATTGCTGCACACTTGTACAACACTGTCTCCAGGGCCAGTACTAAGTTAAGCCTCTGCAATTCCTGTGCATATTCCTTCTCCAAACTCTGCCCACCACAAAATCCCACCAGCTCCTGATAATCTCAGCATGATACTCAGGAGTCCTGTGACACACTGCATACACACTGGTACTGATCTCTGAGTAATAATGTGCTATAAATGAGACTTGTGACCAGGAGAAGGTAACCAGCTGGCTCGATTAGTACCATTACATCGTGATTTTTCACGAAGTGATTATTACCTTTCCTGCTCTAAGTTAAGGTCTATTTACTACTCTCTAAACATTGGCACCATGCCTGTTCATGATTTAGAAACATTCACAGGCTGCAGAGAAGGCTCATAGTGTGCTTTTGTCTTTAATACCTCTGTTAATTACAGCATGGCCAAAACAGATCTACTAAATAGAGAAAAAGCAGCTCCTTTTTGCAAGGGACAGAAGCTTTTTCACTTGCCAAGAGCAATTGTGCTTCAGCTTCCCAGCAAATACAGAGGATTGAGACACACACACATACAAGAAAGTTGGTAACATTCTAACACAACCTGTATGATGATTTTTAACACCTTTTAAAGCCTCTCAGGATGTTGGGTGTTATAGATGGTATCCCATCTCTTCATTAGAGGATTCATGACCTGGATCTGCCACAAACTATACATTTCAAAACTGACTCCTGATAGATTTTTCCAGGTTGGTGGGGAGCAAAGGAGAAATGCTTGCCTTTTAGACCTACTTCCCCAATCCACTTTAGAGCCACACTAATGACATCAGTGATTTTTGAATGAAAAATGGTTTGGTTTTTAAAATCTTTCAAGAGACACCGCTAGTTCAAACTGTCCTTTCAGCA